GAAAGGAGCGCTAGTGACGGTGGAAATTTGTGTCCTCTGTGGTTGGTGATTCTCAGATCAGCTTGATATAGTGTCGGAGACACCTTATAGCTGCGATACAGTCGGCCGTGAGCTGTAGTGAGCTATACTTTCCTCGCTGCTGAGCCCTGAAACGGACTGGAACATTCGCGTCGGAAGCAGTTTATGTGTTTATTTTAACTGATTTTAAGAAGTGATATTTTGATGCTTCATTCCAGACATCAATCTGTATCAACATTTTAAAGTTGAGACTGAGAAAAGTTGAATTTTTTAAATAAATTAATCTGATAAAATTTTGTTTATTGGGTTTGTTAAGTTAAGTAATGGTTTCTTACCCTAAAGTAAGCTAATTTCAAGACCAATTTTGTGTTTGGTTTAGTCTCGCTCGACTGCCGACTGAGACTGCTCGAGTATTTTTTCGGATTTTCTAAAAAAAGAAACGGATTTTGCTTTCTTCTTCCTGCTTCTTGTACCTGTTCAATGCCTCGGCAAGACCTATCGTTCGCCCAGTCGCGTAAAATATTAACTAAATTCTCAAAACTTTCCGTCATTTTAAAACACAGAGGGAAAAACTTTGTAATAATGACGTCAATCGTGCGTCTGTGCTCTAATAGATCTTAGGCGAGAACCAATCAAAATGCGAGAATAGCTTGGGTTATTATATAAATTACAATATTTTATATTCCAGAATATTGGTTCCTAAAATTGACAACTTGAGTGTACAGATCGTTTTCACTGTCACGCAATAAAAAAATAAATCGAAAACCATCCATTGGAAAAAGCTAAGAAATTGTAATGTTATAGAAGATAACTAAATAAGACACTTCTCTAAGTTTTAGGCTTGTGCGTATCCCCAAACTTCAGATATTCGTCGAAATGTTTTGCAGAAAGTTACAGAGCCCAGTATGAAAAGGCCATGTTGGTGTACATCCGTGGTACACCAATATGGCGGGCAGAAAATAGTGTAAACATCTGGAGCTTACTTTGGCTATCTAGGCAACTGATTATCAGTACTGAACAAACAAGCATTTACTTAAGCACTTTTCCTAATGCTCTAACTTCTTAAAAGAGCAAAATCATGAGATTAGCTATATATTTTTCAGCAAACTCAATCGTAGCCTTGTGTTACGCATCTCCATAACCCCGAAATTTAAAATGTTCTGGTTTCCAATTAAAACGAAGCATGCTATTGAGTGAGCTGTAAAATTATAAACAGATATAGATATACTCCTGACTGCCCCTTGTGCCTGATGAGGATAAAAACTTTGGTGGCTTTTTAGTTTTTCACTTTAGAAAGTGATGGCGTCAGGTGAAAACGATTTAAATGGTTACATTTTTGTTTATTGTTTGGTCCTAGCTAGGAATTCTACCAATAAACATATTTAAATACTTACTTCCAGTGCATTTCCAGCCGGGCTTTGATGCTTTTCAAAACCATCGACCTGATGCCACTCATCAAGGAGAAAAATTCATCGGTGATAATTCCGTAGTTCTGAGCGATAATGGCGTTTTTAGTTGAGATATAGGTTATCTGTGACTTGGGATCAATACCAGGCCAACAATTCTTTAGCTTCTTGATCACGTGATTCTGGACCTTGCTTACTTCATTTTCCGGAACTTGGTCCCATTTGTTGCACACGAACAATGCACACTGGGATAAGACTGATCTTTCCTGTCCCTCAATCGTCTTCTTCCTCACTTCATCAAGCAACCTTTCAAGCTGGAAATCAAAAGCAACAGGGAAAAAAAGGGAAAGAACTGACGATTTCTGTTAATTTATTCACGAAAATAGATCAACACCACGATTCCGCCCGCAGTGGGAGCCAAAGCGTTACCGTGGCCGTGGGCAGATAGGAAAATCCGGACGGTGCTAAGAACCAATCAGAGTGTACGATTCGTTACCGTGCGTCCTGCCTCCTATTGAGAATTGCCTTACAAACTTTTGCCTTCGGGCCTTAGGCATAGGGTTTCTTTGTTTTAGCGCCGGGCGAGTGTGTAACCTCTATTTTTTTCTCTATTTGAACCCTCCCGTACTATATTACCCTGCGAGCAGAGTCCCCTTCGATCCTCCTAAACAAATGGGTAATCCTATGTCTGCCGATTTCAGGAAAAAATCTCATCGTGCAAATACTCAGTAACTTCACTACTTTTATTCAGTTTCAATACTTACTCTATCTCTCTGAACTCTTCCAGCGTTTGCACTGTTTATGACATAAATGAACGCAAATGCTTGAGGCAAATACTGCGTAACCATCCCGTCCATGATGTCAGACTCACCAATACCCGGACTGTCAATTATAACCACGCCTTTCTGAAATATAGAGAATATAAAGGTGGGCTGCTATTTTTTCTTTCAATTATTCCATGAACTGATATACTGTATGAGATGATCAACACAACGGGTAGATTATGAAATTAGAATGACTTAATTTTTTCTATGTTTAAAGTGGTTTTCTCTTGAGTGTCGAAAGTAATCTGCGTTTGTTTCTTTTTGCATTCGCAACACTTTCTTTTCTCCACGCACAGTCAAAACCAAACCAATCGCGCCTCACTCGCACATGTTTTTCGCACTCTGCGTCAGCTACATGTGTTTGCTTCGAGTTTTAATTGGTTCACTGGACTGTCTACGTCTTTTGTGATTGGTCGAAGTGATGCTTTAGTTTCTTTTTACTACCCAGTTGAAAACCCCATTATCTGTTATTCGCGATATATTTGGAGGGTATTAAACTAAGATTGAGTCTACGGGCTCCCCCTGACTTTTTTGAACCACGTGACAGCGGAGTTCACTTTGCTGAAGAAGACCTTGTGAGGAGAATCATTATGTTATTTAGTTTAAAGTCATTGTGCTGTGAAGGGAAGGCTGAACTGAACTAATCTTTTCAATAGATAAGCGAATCAACCTTTTTTTTTCCCGCTGTGTTTACAGTTTTATGATTTCTCTTAACACACAAAACGCGTTTTATTTTTCTCGTTGATCACTTCATGAATCATGTGACTTCCCTCTTCTTCCTTCCAGTGTCTGTATGGACGAATGAACGCTCGCTCATTCAGTGACGCAATAGCCAAATTTTCTCGGTATATTTTTATGGCTTATCCAAAAATCTTTATCCATGGTGCTCCGCTGGCCCGCTTCATCTAGAGCTCCGCTTATTTACAGACGAACCTAAATTAAGCGGCCACCTACGTCCAGTTCCCTCTATGAGACACGTTTGTAGGAAACTCATGGTAGTTGTAGTCATCAAAACATATACCCAGTCCAAGATGATGAATACAACTACGGTCCATGATTCCCTGCAGGGACGTATCATAGACGGAATCGGCTTTGAGCGGCCACCCCTTGTTGGGCGGCCAGTTGTCAAAGTCCCGAAATTGTTGTCCGTAAAATACAGTACTGTAAATGGCCTTGCATACGGCGACTGCGCCTGCAGTACAGGTCGCAGTCAAACCTGAGCTGTCCTACCAAAACGACGTGCGCTTCTATTATGCGGCAGCGGCCACCTTTTGGTCGTCCCGATGAGAAAGTTCTCTATTGTCCTTAGCCCTTTTAAGTCACCACCCAAAACTTAATACGCGTTGTTTGGCTTTTTCTTTTGGAAAACACGAGTGGCAGATAAGGGACGAAATAGAAATTCACGACTAATGAAAAAGATTCCAACACACGTTTATTATGATTGTCTCGCCTTGATTCTATGTTAACTTAGCAGTCAATGTAATCTAAAAACTACACGAATCGCTGTTAAGTGACCAAGCCCTCGCCTCCCATTTCTCCCACCAACCACTACCCGTTTCCCCTGAGGGTGGAGTTCTCGACAGTATTTATTGCGACATCAATAATGAATACCTTCAAAAATTGGTGAGGCCAAAAGAGTTCAACCTTTTTGTAAAGTGAACCTTTATCTCGATCACTCGTCGCGTGAACATAATGAGAGATCTGCTCAAGATAGCTTTGTTCAGAGGATGCAGCTTTTAGAGGGAACTCCATAGTTGGAAGCCCTGTTTCTGGATCCTTGTCCTTAAAGTGGACCACGATTCTGCGTTGTTCTCCATATTTCAATTCGCATATAGTGGACGTTGTGCTGAGTACAGAATATGGAAGTAGTTCCTCTCCAAGAATAAGGTTAACCAAGGTGCTTTTTCCAGAGCTTGTCTCACCTTAAAAGGTATTAACTGTCAATTATTAGATTACCTTCATAATAGCTTCTTGTCTGATTCTTAGATCTGTTTGGAATGGAATTATATTGCTGCAAAATTCACGAAATGCGAGTGGTGTTTCCTTTTTTTTTGACACTTTTTAATTACCTTTTGACCTTTTTCTTTTTTATCAAGAAATTGCCTTTCATATAGTGGAAACATTTGCAAGTTGACAGATTCAGGAATATTTCTAAGCATGGTGTACTGACAAAGTCAAAGCTACGTAAATTTCCTATTTTTGAGTAAATTACAATCAATTCGATGCTCGAAATTCATGTTGTGTCAATGCACATTTTTGCTTAAAAATGTTCGTAATTAAACCGCTTTTTAAACTAGAGTTGCGTTGTCTCATTTACCTGCCACAAGAAGGAAATATTCTTTCCGTTTCAGGTGTGCTTGGTGATTTCCTATCTTCTCTTCAATGTTGCCCACGTTCTTCTTCAGCAAATCGAGAATTTCGTCATTTAGGTTTCTCAGATAGTCCTCGGTATCGGAGTAAAGCTTAAGTAAAGCTTGTCTTTTAAAGCCATCTTCTTCTCTTGCTTCTGTTAAAATGGAAAAGGCCTAAAACGTGAAAGCAAACGCGATTTCATAGCTCAAATCAAACGTGTTCTTGAATCGAATTTACCTCTTCAGTCTCTCGACTGAAAAATGTTGATGCTAGTATATATGACGTGATACATCAAACACGAAAGACCGTGTTTGACCACATTTCCAAACACCGAGAAGAGAGTTGAAAATACGACGCGCAGCAGAGTATCTTTGACAAACTTCGAGGTGTTTGGAAATGTGGTAAAACACTGCCTTGAGCGTTTGATATATCTTCTTAATCGAAACTAAAACGGAGTAAAAAACAGAGAAACAGAATCGTAAAAATCTATGCTAATTAAGATCAGATATTCAAACACCATCACGATCATGATTTCCTTTGTTTAAACTTGATAAATTATTAATGGGTTTGAGAA